TGTTGCAAACAGGATTTTGTGTGTGCATGTACAGACAGTGTGATTGTTGACTTGCACAACACACTTACTGCTCACCCCTGTTGATGCATTACGTGCTATGCATGCTGTTGGTCCCGGGCAGATGTTAATTTATTCATGACCAGTGCTCTGTCTCTGTCAGGGAAGATTAGCAGCGAGCAGTGGTACAGTACCTAATCCAATCCTCTCTTTTCTTCATTTTGGACCTTATTGTGTTTGCTTGCTGTCAAGTAAACCATTTTGAAATTAACTCTGCTTTAAGGGTGTTTTGGGGAAGGCTAAGAAAACACGACTGACTTCTGTCTGAAGGTGTTTCTATCTCATTTCTTGTTTGTCCTTTCTTCTGAGCAGTCAGTCAGTCTGTCTGCTTCTCAGTGATCATACGCACCCATATAGACGTTCAGGGAGCCTTACATCAGCGCTGCCCATGTAATCCAGCAGCAGAGCGACGTCATCTGCTGCCATCCAGTGAGAGGAGCGGGGGACGGGTTTGTAAGGAGACCTAATGAGGCATAGGGCTTCCTGATGTATGGTACATGTGGTTTCAGCTGGCGTTTTAACTTCTTAAAAAGACACTAAAAATATAGCCAATTTGTCATTCAGTCATGGGAATGTGCTTCAGAAGAAGAACAGATGTGGAGTCTGTCACGATGAGCTGCCATGAAATGTGAAAAGAAATGACAGAAAAAGGGAGTTCAAGAGTTGCTGTGTTTTTATCCTCCTCCATCTGTATCTCAAGTGCTGTGAGAATACAGAGACTGCAGTAGCCAAGCAGCCAATCAGATTGCAGCACTCAGAAGCCAGTCAGAGGCAAGACAACAGACATGCCCAGAAACACACAGGTGCTTTCATCTGCTTATTCTGCGCAGATTTTATAATATACACAATAATGGATGAGACTGTTTATCAAAGAAACACAGTTTTGTGTCGCATTCTTATGCAATCAAGACTTTATTAAAAATGACTTTTGCATAAAGTAATAAAAACACATTACAACAAACTGAGATAGGACCTTCTCATTGTTTACATGTTTTACACTCAGAACTGGATTTTGGTTTTTTTTTACATTTTTTACAAAAATGTTTTTCTCTTTTGCTGCAGTTGATGTAGTATTACTGAAAGGCCACTAGGGACTGATAGAGGACCTGAAAAATGAGCTTTGTATTTGTGAGACTGTGCACACTGTAATGGTTTAGTTAAAATACTTAACACTTACACTTAAAAGCAGTCTTTTTTGCAAGTGCATACAAATTTTAATGTTATTCTTATAGTTACAAGTTATATATTTTAAATTCCAACAGGGTTGTAGACCTTTAATCATCAACAAGTTTGTCTTCTGGGTTCAGCTTCTTAATATTTGTTTTTTCTTGAATGGTTCTAAATTGAATATCACAAACTCTACAGCAAGTCTGAGTACACTGTTTGGAGACTGGTTGCCTCCTGCCAGACAACCTGCACAGTCACCTTGGGTTCACCTTGCATGCCTCGGCTCACCCAGAGGTTATTGGGAGGATTGCTCAATCTCGGGGTCTCCAGTTGTTTGCTACAACTGCTTGCAATCGGTCACTGAATGCAAAAAATCACCACAAAATCACCACAATTTTATTTCCTAGCTGGGATCCTATTTTGTGCTCTAGTGTGAGTGAAGCACATTCAGCAAAGATATATAGTGCAGAAGAAGATGCTCTACATTTTCACTAGTAGAGCGTCTCCTTCTCTATAATTTACAATATTCTGAAAACTGACTCGAGGGCACATAGCAGAGTAGCATCACAGCTGTGTAGTGGTGTGTTTGGTTTAAGTTCTTAACTAATGTGTAAGACACATGGCTGAAGAGTAAAAAACAAGACAAAATATAGAATATTTAACATGAATAGGAATCCGACCAGACAGTCAGTGCAATTTCTTTCTTAGTCTGTGCTTGTGATCTCTATAGATTGGTACCAAAACATTTTGAGGTTTAAAACCTGCCTCTGCTGATATAGCTGTCTGTTGCTTTACCAACCATCACTATGTGTGTGTAACATCTGTACACCATTGTAGACAGATTTTACTGGTGCCAGTCCCACCACATCCATGCCATGTGGGTTACTTTCATTGTCAGTTCTTATAGTTTTAGCATCAAAAGGCCCCAACTGGCCCACAACATTAAACTTGTGAAATTTAGGAACCTCAGTTGCCATGGCAACCCATCCTTCTCAAATTCTTTTTGCCTCCCTTCACAGAAGCCATAAAATACCAAATACGGATCATTAAACTCTGCGTGTGTGGGAGTGCGTCATGGTTAACTCTGATTCTGTGGAGCCTTCTGTGAAAGGCGCAACATACCTGCGGTGACAACAGAAATATATTCCTCTCTTTTTTATTCCTAGTTCATACACATAAAATGTGTTTGAGTGACTCGGTTGGGATGATTGGCCACTATTCTGGATGCTATAGTGCTGCAAATTAAAAATATCTTCAGGGTTTGTCAGGTTCTGAGACATTTTAGCAAATCTTCAACACTGGAAACAGCTTCAGGCTAAAGAAATGTGTTTATTAAGCATTTATTAAATGTGTTTAATAAGCATTTAAATAAGGGAATGACCTCAACTAACAAGGTTAGCATTTATAAGTTATACCAGTGAGTCAAAGCTGTGCTTTTCTAAGTTTAGTTGTGTGTGTTGTTAAAGATGAGAGCTAATCCTTAATATTGTCATCTCAGACACGTAGTTTTCACTGAAAGCACAGAAGCCCCACCCACCTGCTATTTAAGCTTCCTGTCTATGAAGGGCAGCCAATTGGAAGAGGAGTAATTAAGAGCTTGTTTCAGACAGTTACAGGGCACAGTATAAGATAAATGAGGATTTTGAACTGCAGTACACCTCTGGACCTCTAATTAGCCTCTATTTAAGTAGAGGCTGATATTTTCTTGACAAATCTTCACACCAGAAATAAACAAATTTCCCACATGTGGGACTAATAAAGGTTATCTTATCTTAACAAACAAACAAAAAATAACATTAAATAGGTTACAAATGTACTTTTGTGTTTTTAATACGATTAAACAGCCAAGCAAAATGTGTTTAAATAGCATACGAGAATAGAATTAAAAAGAAAAACTACATGTAACCAGTCAAAGCAGGACTCAATAATTACACAAAGCATGGTGTAAATCCAAACAGGTTCACTAATATCACCCAAATTAACATCTAGCAGATATGGATTTAGCTCACTTTTAAAGCATCTGTGCAATGTGAATGTCTTCAAGTCAAGTCAGGCTTTAGGCTGCAGCTGTAGACAGTGAGAGCTATAAAAGATGGATGTAGCTTTTACCATGACGTCATCCGCTGGTTTCTGATGTGCCATTTTGAAGCCTTGACATGAGTGTTTCTGCTGTTGCCATCTTGCATGCAAAAAGCCAGTTTTGACGAGCAGGGCCAGGTCTGACGGTGACTTGTGATCAGCATTTCATTAACAAATGAAAATGTGGTTTCATATCATAGATATACAAGATTTTCAAATTAGACTTAATTTAGAGCCTGGGACTGTTTTTTGTTGCGTATGAATACATAATGTTGTGCTTTTTGTCCGTATCTCTGGTGGTGCGCTGAATCGAAATAGGTGGTCATGAAGGAACATGTCATCCAGTGTTTTCAGCGCTTTTTGGTCAAAAAAATATTTCCGTT